AAAAAAAAAAAAAAAAAAAAAAAGTCTGCCAAAATCCTGGCCATAAAAAGCCTCTTAGCCTGTAAGATACACCTCTTCTTTGTTCTGCTGGCCAGGACAGAGGGGTCCTCTCAGGCTTAGCAACAAACTTGCTTGGAGTGCTGAGCTTGCATCCCCTCCCTTCCTTTCACTCTCGCCAGGCATGTAGTGGATGTGGGAAAGCTTCAAGTGCCAAGTCTCAAAAAAAAGCCTACAAACTTATTTCCCAGGCCCACGAGTAACTCAGCTCTGTGTGCCCACAGTTGGAGCTTACCGATCACTCCCAGGTTGGCTGCAAACATCAGTGAAATCCCAATCGGGAGACCAAGTACATAGTACCCGATGGCATTAATGACGGCTCCAACCTTCTGATTTCCACTTCCCCTCAGAATGCCGCCACTTGTACACTGTAGGCAGAGTACAATCCTCAGTGTGAACATGGCCGGTGCTTCCGGAAGACTAGCATCCACGAGTACTTCTCGTTCTGCGAGACTCTGACTTAAAATCCAAGGTGTGGGCCAGCGTTCTTACAAAGGGAATATGATCAAGATATTAAGTATCACCAGTCACCCCCCACCCAGCCTCTCTTCTCCCTTTAAATTTACCATCATCAGAAGCAACACGCGGACCATAAAAGTGCTTACAGGAATACGGCACCACACTTACGGCAAGACCATCAAAGAGGTGGGAAACGGCAGAAATCGGAACCACCTGAGCCACTAGAGCAATGATCTCTCTGTCAGGGAAATAAAGCACATGGTGATCAGGAGGAGACAATGTGTGCAAAAGGAGACTGTGCAGCTCCCCAGTGGCTGCTCAGCTTCTGCCACAGCTTCTGCACACCTGTGCATGGCAACCTGCTGTCTGCTGGCCTACAGAGGAAACCAACTCTACACTGTATCTCACAACTTATAGAAAAAATGTACAGTGCATTTCATCAATGCAGACAGCGGGGTCATATGATTTGTACTCCTCTCCCCTCTCCAAAAACATAAATTTGGATCACAGCTCCACCCTTTTCTTTTCTAACATGATTCCACGTGTGTCCTTCCACATGTCTGAATAAAGCATGTTTAATAGGAGTTAGGCTTCTCTCTATGAACCAAGATTGGCCAGTTATAAAGGCCATGGAGTTAGTTTATGGAATTATCCTTAGTTTCCAGAAATAGGCCATAACTTGTAAAGCTACAGACTCGAATTTTAATGCCTGCCCTTGAAGGGAGACTAGAAAAATGTGCCACTGACCTGGGGAGGCAAACAATTTAGAATACCTTTGAGTGACTGACAAATAAACTGAGAACATTGTCTGGCAATAAATATTTGTTGAATGAGTTAATAAATAAGGTCACTGAACAAGATGGTCAGTCCCCACCCCCTGAAAAAAGGACAGAAATACAATTATTTTATTTAAATTCTATTTATTGAATAGAAATTTTGGGGGCAAGGATATAAGGAAAAATCTTACTTCCACTCCTTTCCCAGCCCACCTATTACTAATCCCCACCCAACCTGGTAACAATTCTTAGCTCTGTATGTGGTCAGTGTTTATGAAACAACAGGGAAATATAAATATTTCTCTATTTATAGAGTCTATTATTTCATGTTATAGCTTTCTCTATATGATATTCTACCCTGATTTTTCCACCTAATGCTATATTTACTTTTATATTCTATTGAAATATATTATTTTTAATGTGCTGCTGAATTCTGCTAATATTTTATTTTGGATTTAAAAATTGATATTAATAAGTGAGATTGGTTTGTGGCTTTCTTTTTTATTGTGTAAACTTTGTCAGATTTGGGTACCAATGTTCCATTTGCTCCATAAACACAACAGGGAAACTTTCCCTTTTTTGCTCTCTGGAGCAGATCCGACAGCATTTTAAAGATTTTATAAAATTCTCCTTTGGAACCCTCTGAGAATGGTGCTACATGAAATTTTAAAATAATTTCTTCCTGTTTCTTCTAAGGCAGTTGATCTATTTAAACTTTCCATGTTTTCCAGGGTAAATTTTGATAAATTACTTTCCTATAACACTTTAATTCCTTCCAGATTTTTTAATTTACTTGAGAAAACTGTACAAACTAGTCTTTTATGCTTTACAAAAATAATATTTTTTTTTTAGTAATTTCTCCTTTTTTGCAGAGCGCTCTCTCTTCTTCCTCTTTGGGGAGTTTAGGAATCTATGCCATTGTTAGAATCTATGTCATCAATTCTGCTGGTTTCATTTGATCCTGGGCAGCTTACAAATAATTTGATTTTGTGGGCTTTCTCTGTCTCCTAGTTTCATCAAAGGTATAGTGTGTGGGTGCTTTGTTTTCCATTCTTTTTCCTGCTTTGCATGGTTTCTGGAAGTGGCAGATTCAGAATCAAATGTCCACCTTGTTCCTACTGAAGCCATCAGTGCAGGATATATGTGTGACAAGTTAATTCTGACTTCCTTTAAAGGAAATGAGGATGATTTCTGGTTGCCTTCTGTGGGGAAAATGGAAGTTCCTATGGCCAGGATCCTCCCCTGACCCTAAACTACTTGATGATGTAACTGACCTACTGCTAAGCTAACCCTCCCATACCCATAGACGACGAGCTATTATTGACTGAGTCACTATGTAAAGAGCTCTGCCCAGTGCTCTGGAAGAAGGCAGAGATGGAGGGGGATTACGGACCTGCAGACTGCTGGGTGCAGATGTGATTCTAGTGCTCAGCCCACTGTTGGGATGAAAAAGCTGGGTATAAGACCTTTTACCCCAAGAAGTTCTGTTGTCATTCCTCCATCTCACTGAATCCATAGTGAACTTGTCCAGAGCTGAAACCCTCAGGCAAGACACCTTCCCACTCATTCTGGAGTGAGGGACATTTACACATCTGATTTCCCTACAGCAAAAAGAAGCTAAAGACGAATACCTGAAGATGAAACTGTGAAAGGCAGTTCTGTGCACCTGCCTGCTTTTTGATCCATGAGGGAAAGGCCAGTTTTACATTTTGTAATTGCTGAAAAAGAATCCCAAAGAAGAGGCACCCCCACTCTGTATCTACATTGTCAGAATGCACCAGCCAGGCTCTCTGATGAGGGCGACTGAACAGAATTGGCAGCACACAGAGGGGATTTATCTTGCACGAGGATTCTTCTCGGTAACCAGTCTGATGCTGAGATTTTTTTTGAGACAGTTCCTTGGAGAGATTTTAACTTCAATTCTAATTGACAAAGATATTATGCAGCTACTATAAACCAGACATGTGGGCAGATTCTGAGATACTGATAGGATTCTTGTCCTTGGGAACAAAATAGTCAACTGAAAATGTAATCAGTGGTTCCAAAAACACATTTCCTTCTTTAAAATACAAGAGTATCCTGACTGCTAGAGGCTTATATCACCACCAAAGTCCCTTAAATTGGCTTGAATCTAGATGATAAGTTAGTTCCTGTGTCTAATAGGTTCCTCCCAGGTAACATAAGTCGGTTTCTGATCGTGCAAATGACTCGGCATCCTACAAGCTACAACAGTCCAGGAGCCCAGTGTGAAAGCATCTATCCAACCACTTCTTTACCACAGACTTCACATGTCAAAAAAAGTGTCCACTCACCGGTCGGCTGTGAAAATGTACCCCACAAGATCCTTACAGCTTAACAGCAGGACACAAAAAGTTACAGCAAAGAATTCTGCAGATAGAACAGTAGAGAAACAGCACAGTGAAAAAAGGAGGTCTACGGGTTAAGGGGGAGCCCCATTCCCCAGGTCAGTGGGCAAGGGGGAGCTTGGGTCCTTGGATCAGCAGGTAAGGGGAACCTGGTTTCCTGTGCATGGCCTGCTTGGAACCATTGACTAAACAGTCTAGGCACCTGTGATCAGCAGGGCGACGGCTGAGGACTTCCGGGCCTGCTCAAAGTTCCTGGCACCCAGTGCATTCCCCACCCGGACGCTGGCAGCCACACTGAAGCCTGTAGGTATCTGAAATGCAAAGGAAGCATACAACAATAACACTGGGAGTGAAGCAGGAGGCAGAGAAAGAGTCCTACCTCTGGTTCAGTTTTGAACCTAACCCTGCACTTCCCTGGGAAGAGAGGCCTGGTCGATTGAGCTTCACACTGATTGGTAAAACTTGGTCCTAAAAGTAGTGAGACCAATTTGCAACATCCCCTCTGTCAGGCTGGGAGCCCCCGACTAACGTGGAACCTGGAACTCCAGGCTCGGATCCTCACCACACTGGCTTTTCTGGGGGGCTTCCCACCTGTGCAATGGAGGGCCCGGCGCCATCACACTCCCACTCTGGGCGTGGAAGGACAGACTGCAGGGAGCCCAAGCAAGTTAGGTCTGCTCTGGAAGACCATTGTGGGATCAAGTTTATGAGACAGAATCCTAAAACGGTAACCATTTTTTCCCAAAAAATGTTGGATAAAAAGAACTTCAGACAATAAAAGATACCTATGAGGCTGATAACAGTGCTTCCCTTTTTGTGAAGGGAATGGTGGGGAAAAGGCAGAATTAGCGTGGTGCCAAAGGAGGTTCAGGAAGAGTATGGCCTTGTGGAGAGGAATGGGAACTGGTGAGTTCAAATCCTAGCTCAGCGACTTCTCAGCTGTGTGTCCCTGGGCAAGTTACTTTTCCTCTCTAGACCTCAGCTGTTTCATCTGTAAAAGGGATGGTGTAGTAAAGCCTACCTTGTAGGGTTTCTGTGGGGTTTTAATGAGTCTCCATAAATGCTAACTGCTTAGAATACTATGTAAAAATCCTCACATGTAGTAACTGTCCAATAAAGGTTAGCAATTCAGTTAAGATTACTGTTATCTATAAATTTACCACTTGAGAAATCAGTGTTAATAAAGAGGAGTCGTCATTCACTTAAATACGAGTTTTGCTTGCTGATCAGGGTAACGAAAGGACGGGGCTCCAGAAAAGCTGGCACAGAGGATGAGGGGTGCAAATGAACTAGAAAACGGAGCCCGCGGCTGCAGCCCTCCCCACGGGCGGTATATTCATTAAAGGGAGAGAGTGAGGACAGAGAAACCGTGCAGACACCACCTTCACCCAGAATCAGTTCCCACCACCAATGGAACAAGCCCACATCACGTGCCCCCTGACGTAGCGCACGAGGAGGACACAGCAACACTTCTGAAGTATTTCTGTCAAATCAGAATCTGCTCCTGAGGAAGGACCAGCTACAGCAATTGAGGGAAAGCCTGTATACCATGGCCTTTGTTCTTCAAAAATGTCCAGGTCAAGAAAAGCTGGGGATCTCTTCTTGATTAAAGGACACGAGAGAGGCTTGAAGCTTAATTCTGGGAGACAAAAAGTCACAAAGGACACTAACAGACAATGGACGGTGTTTGAATACAGGCTGTGGAGGTAGACAGATGAGATGCAGAAGACAGAGAGAATGGGACAAATGTAATCAATTAGTGAATATGGGTACAAGTTATAAATCCTTCTTTGGTTAGAGAGAAATATAAATGTATAAATGTATGGTCTAATAAGACTGTTAGAAAGCATACAGTAATTATGCAAAAGACTTAAAATTGTAATTAAATTTCATTTTTAGGAATTTATCGTAAAAGAACCAAACAAGTATGTAAAGATATTTGTTCTAAGATATTCATTGAAGTGTTAATATTGAATTATTGGAAGTAAACTAAATATTCAACAGCAGGAGACTGATTCAAACATTATACGACAAACAATGGAATACTGTGTACCATTAAGTATTTTGATTTCAGTATAGTTACTGAACTTACTGAAATATAAAATACATATAAAATATAAAAAGTGTAGAAGTAACAAATATGGCTGAGAAAATTCTGCTTAGAAAAAAGAAAAAACAAAAAGCGCAGATCCTCCTGCGTCCCCACCTGCTGGCGATCACTTGCCCTTCAGTGGGACTCCGTCCTGGGCCCCCCTCACTTCCTGTTCCCCTTACCCGCTTGCCTTGCCTCCTGGGCCAGGTCAATGCTTGGATATGAGCTGCTCAGAACACTGCCTCACTTTGTGATGTCACATTTATTCATGTGCACTCTCCCCACTGGAGGGTAAGCTCCCTAAAATCCGGGGGTCACTGTTGCATCTCTAGCACCCAACGGAACAAGAATCTCAGGGCTTTGTTGTTGCTTGGCTTGAAAATAAAAAACCTCTTGCTTTTTAAAAATAGTGTTTGCCATCTTAACCACTTTTAGGTACAACGCAGTAGTGTTAAGGATACTGCCATAATGGTACAACACAGCTCTAGAACTTTTCCATCTCGCAAATTTGTAAACTCTGTACCCATCAAACTACTCCCCATGCCTCCCTCTCCCCCTGCTCCCCATGCCCTGGCTACCACCATTCCACTTGCGGTTCTGTAAGTCTGACGACTGGGCTCCTCATACAAACAAAACCAGACGGTCACTGTCCTGTTCGCCTAGCAGAACGTCCTCAAGGCTCATCCATGCCGTAGCATTTGACCAGAAAAAAAATCTCGTCTTTAATGTAACAGAATACAATAACCATTCTCCCATACCAGAAAACACTTTGTGAAAGGTTGTGCACTATTCCGTGATGATATACATAAGCCGTATTTAAACAAACTGTGTTGGTGGACATTTATGAACGGGGCTTGCTCACTGCTGTTCGCTGCACCTCAGGGCTCCCCTCTGCTGGGAGGCAGCTCTCTCCCACCCTCATTCCTGCTCACAGGTATTTTCATGAACTGACAGGTACAGACTGGATCTACAAGGGCGCTTGGGGACCAGAACCTGGGGAAAGAATGAGAGCCACAGAAGTGGAAGATGGCAGTGGGTCTCAATTTCCTAGTCCCTGACATGTGCTTTGAGCCTTGTGAGGAGAGACAGAGACAGAGAGGGAGTAGGGAGGGGTAAAGGGGAAGATGTAGACTGATGGGGTGTTTTCCCACCTTAGCGTGGGGGGCTCAGGCTCTGGGGTGAGCAGAATGGGGCCTCACAGCATCGCCGGGTGGTGCCTTCCCAGACAGGGATTCTGCATCGTCACTTAAGGCAGCTGCAGCCAAGGCAGTGGCCTGACCCTCGGCACCTGTGAGGGCCCTTGCTGGAAAGGCCGGCCAGGGATGTGATGCCTTTGTCTCCTATGGCTTTGTGAGAGCCTTTGCCAGCCAGTCCTTAAACCAGTGGGAGCTGGAAATCAGCCACATTTAAACCAGGGAAACCTACAAGCAAATCAGGGTGTTTGCCTTTTGGAAAGTTGGTTTTCCAGCACCCGGCTTCAGAGGGCACACTCACACTGAGAAACTCAAGGTTTTAGGAACTATTGACAAAGTTGCGGACAGGTTGTGGGGAAGCCCAGGGAACTTCACACTGGGAGCCAGCATCCTCAGGGTCAGGGATGAGGGAAGGGAGGTGTGTCCACATCAGAGTCCCTGAGACCCTCAGAGGGCAGCTGAGGAGTGAAGACCTGGCCTAACTGTCCACTGACCCCTCTTCTCATCTCCTGACCCCCACTGGCTGGATCTAACTGGTGGAAAGCAGCCCACTGCTGTAGTCCCTAGGGTCAGCCTCAGGGCAGGAGAATCTGGAGAAGAGTGGGGATGGGGTGGAGGAGCACACAGGAACACAGGAGTCCATCTCCCTTAGGTGGCTTCTGGGCAAGCCAGCCAACAAGCTGGTCAGAGCAAAAAGCACTTGAGTTCATGGAGGACTCCCTGCAAACCTCCAGAAATATCTGTGGGGGTCTGAAAGCTGTGCAGCTGTGACCTGTGCCTCTGAGCCCAACTGTACATCAAAATAAATGTTGCAAATTTATAGCTTTCTGCTGAGGAAGCTCAGGTGGCATAACTATGCTGCAGTAAAGACTTTGTTTGCAATGTTTCCCTTTTCTGACTATTTCCCTAGAAAAGACCAGATTTCCAAGCAAAAATTGTACAGCAAAGGGTTTCTACATTTTTAAGATTTTGATGCTTACTGTATACTTTTTTCCAGAACATTGATACCAACTGATAAATGTATCAGCCAATACACAAGAGTGGCTGATTGCACACATCTTCACCGATACTTGACATTATTAAATTTGGACAGAGTTGCCTGTTGGCTCGGTGAAAAATCTTTAGCCCCAGGGTTATTTGCTTTACTTAAATTACTTAAGAATATATGTTTTGGACAAAGTTCTTCACATGCTCACTGGAAGCAAAATATTTTATTTGTCCCAAATTTCCTTTCTTAAAAGTGCAAAGGAAGCAAACCTATGAGAGCAATTCACACAGCACCCAGCACATAGCGCTGTTTACCATTCGTTCCTGAACTTGGTCATTCAGTGCATATCCAGGACACATCCCGTGTGTGATTAGGAGATAACAAGAGGTCTCTGCTCTGGACATTTCTGTCTCCTTTTCCTCTTCCAAGATTCAGAGCCCTAATTTGCTTCAGCTGTTCTTGGTGATACCTGTCAGGACAGGGCCCAAGGACTGAACAACATTCCCTTGCCCACCCCTTCCACCTCCCTGCATGGTGGGGGCTTCACGGCTGCAAAGATGTTATCTCCCCTTTGCTGAAGCATCAGTCCTCCACGGGCCCTTGGAGATGACTTAAATCGACTAGATCTGGATTTCTGCATATATAAGGTTGTCTGTTTACAAACCAATAGAGGCAAGTTGTAGAGAATCTGGAAAGTGCCGAAAGGTAACAGAAGCAGCAATCAAGTCCAACATCCCAAGGAAACCACTGTCAAAGTATTGGTGTGTTCTACTAGAAAGATACAAATGCTTTCTAAAAACAAATTTGGGAATATAATATATAACTTTAAATATGTTCTTCTTGTTTTAAATAGAAACACTTCCCAGTTTACGTAACATCATTTTGCACCATAATGTTCCATGTTGAAGAGATGGGCGTCATTATGTTCCTTCTCCTGTTGGGACATTTAGGCTATTTTCCAGATTTTTTATTATTAGTTATTTTCCAATGATGGTCTTTAGACAACAAAAAGCACAGGTGCTCAGGAGAATGATTCTCAAAGGAAACAGGAAATGTATATTCTATATACTTTTAAAATATAACAGTCTCAGGGTGGGGAAATGTAAGCATTCATGTGACAAACAATGCCAATAGCTCTAGTCCCTTTCCCTGTACATACTCCCTTCCTGTCCCCATCTTTCCTTTCACATTTCTAGAATGGTGCTTGCTAGAGAAGAAAGCTCTTCAGAATTTCCAGTTAAGGTTTTCAGTAAAACAAAGTCAAAGGAAAGCCTCTAATGCCTGGGGTTCTTCTCTAAATGTTCCTTCCTTTTAAGGGCTGAATAATATTCCATTGTAGTGACAGTGACAGACCATGTTTTGTTATCCATTCATCTGTTGACAGACACTTGCGTAGCTTCATCTTTCAGCTACTGTGAGTAATGCGGTTTAATTTCAGTACAAGTATCTGCTCAAAACCCTGCTTTCATTTCTTTTGGGTCTAACCTAGGAGTGGTCACACCAAGTTTTAAGAGGCATCAGACCCAGGCAGGAGTGGAGCTCATGGGGATACAAGGAGCTTGACCCTTACTTCTAGGCAGCCAGTGCTGTCACCCTTCACACCCCCACCTGTCCCCAGGGCATCTGTGGTGTGACAACCAGAAAAGATTCTTCGTGTCTGGCAAGTGTGCTGTCAGAGCAGTTCTCTCAGACTTGAACTGTGTTAGGTGGTGGATGACCAGCAGTGAACAACTAACTGGAGCTTCTCCCCAAGTTCCTCAGCACACAGGCAAGATCCCAACCGTACCAAACTCACCCTCCCTGGTTCTGGGATAAAAGCTTACTTTCATGAATCACCTCATAAGTTATTAATGCTACAAATGCCTGTGCTCATTCTGAGGACTCTTCGAGGGGAGCATCTAGCACCTCCACACAACCGGCTCTCAGCACTTACCATGTACACAATGGTGGCCAGTTCATACACGACGGACTGGGCTCCCAGCTCCACTGTGCCGAGGGTACCTGGTGGAGAGACAGTTGCTGCCATGCTTCCGGATGGGGCCTCCGCACTGCCACCAGCCACCCCACCTTTCCCACACTGACTGCTCAGGAAGCTCCCAATTTCGTAGGCCCACCACTCAATGCACAGCATTAACATGCTGGGTTTGGCCAGCTGGAAAAAGGAGGCCCAGTCCTGCAGACACTCGAGGGACCACCCTGCAGGCAGGACATGAACACATTTCCAACACATCCAGCCATCGGGCTGGAGTTCAATCCAGGACAAAACCTGTGTCTAGGTTGGAAGACGAAAGGTCTCTTTACCTCCCCAGGTAGCTTGATGCAGTTTTCACCCAAGGATGTAGAGGAAGAGGAGCACAGCCAGGGTGAACTGGGAGACTGTGTTTGCCAGTGCTGAACCCCTGGGAAGAATGGTCCCAGTGAGGGGAGGTGCCTGCCCTCCACCCTCTCCCGCCTCACTCAGGTGGGGCGGGCAGCCACCCTGTGATCGTCTTTGTTCCTGACTGGCCTTACTCTCCATCTCCAGAGGCGTTATCCAGAGTAGCCCATGGAGGAGACCCCAAGTGGCCACAGTGACCAGGCAAAGGGCCCACACCCACCCCATCCTGGAAAACACTCATGCAGGTCATTCCTTCCCACTGTCCCAAGAGTAAGCTGGACTCACATTACCCTGAGGTGCAGCTGATGGAGAAGCAGATAGTTGGTGAGGGCATTGACAAAGTTGGCTGCAACTCCAGTTAGGATCTGGGGCAGGACAACTCCCTGAAACGAGGAGAGGCCGTGCCATGCTGTGGACCCACAGGCAGGGCTGCTGTGCTCCCCCCAGACCAAAGCAGGCTCTGAGCAGCTATGTGGCTGGCTGGCCCAGGCAAACCAGCAGGCCTAACTGGGTGCCCAGCCTGGCTGTTCCCAACCCCTGCCCCCCCACCCAGTCTCCTGCTCTGTGGAGCAAGAAGCACATGGTTCCGGCCACAGAGACACGGGCAGGGGATGGGAAGGCAGCAGAGAGGGGGAATGTGAAACAGCTTGTCTAAAGAGGGCAAGGACCAGCAGGGATTAAAGAGCATGCACAAGTCATTTGCACACTGGACAGTGGGGTGGGAGAGTACAACACTTTCTGACTCAAACTGAGGTTGGGAAGATTGACCTAAGATCTTATGGAACTGGACTGCGGGACGAACGCCCTGTCATCCAACTCTGCTCCCAGGTACAGGGCAGGAAGTCTGGTCAGCTCACATCCTGACAGGCACTGAAGGCATGGGAGTGAAATGGTGCCAGACTAAGGAGTAGAAATCAGGACAGAATACCAGACTCTGTAAAGCCAGTGGTGACACTAAGGGGAAACGCTCCCCACAAATATAGGGTGCCATCTCAGCCCAGTCTTTGAATGATGTAACTTGGTCTCTAAAATCAGACTAGAGGAAATTCTGCTGCTTGAAATCCTACCAGAAGAAATGAAACACCCCACTCTTACCTGGGGCAAAAGCCACTTTCACACAAAAAAACCAGCTTCCATTTGCAACCCAGGGACAGAGCTCCATGTGGATTTCTGGACACCGCAACCTACATTTGTCCACCTTCCACATCTACCTACGCCTTGCCATTTCCAAGGAGGGGGGACTTGGGTCCCGTGTGCATGGCAGACGTGGCATTGATATCCCTTTACTCATGGCCTACCTCGCTCTGAGCCTACCGAAGCTCAGCGTCCTTCAGGACCCCAGCGTCACTCTTGGCTGTTTATCTGGTGAGAACCCACAGCTCAGCTTTCTCAATGCTGCAGATCAGTAAGCCCACCCCTTCTCATGTGGGTCTGTCTCTTGTGGTCTTGGACATCCTGGGCTCAGGAGCCAACCACTTATGTGAGTCACTTGTGTCTCGGGAGAACCTGGCTAGATTTCAGCCAGGGAGTGAGGTGGTCAGGCTCGCCTGTCAGGTAGGTGGTGTGGGACTGCCCCAGGGAAAGGCTGGCAGCAGGGAGCCTGGCTAGGGCCTGCTGACTGCGCTGACGGGCAACGATGGACAGGAGGAGCGGAGGTGGGACAGGAGCAGGGGGATCTGCAGCCCGGAGACTGCTTGGACACCAGGAGCGAAGGAGACGGAGTCATGGATGATGGGATGTGTGCAGAACAGGTTACTGGAGAGAAAATGTCTGAAAGGAAGCAGGAGGCAGAGGAGCAGGTTTGCAGGGGATAAGGAGGTTGGGGTGCAGCACGCATGACCTCCCACAGGCAGCAGGAAGGGCTGTTTGCAGGGTAGATATAAATATGGGCGTCCTGGGCATACAGATGGAAATCAAGGACACGAAGGAGAGGGCAGTCCTCGGAGTAAGGGAGGAAGAAGCCCATGGGTCAACCCCTTGCAGAGTGCTCCCCCTCTACCCCTGTAAGTCTGAGCACCGTCCTGGGCTTCACTGTTCCCTTCCCATGCTATACCCTCTTCCAGTGGATTGACTTTCTCCCCCAACCATGTGTTTCTCTTCTGTCCTACACTCACAAATGGGCTGGGCCCCATGGTGGCAATGGCTAAATACAGGTCCTTCCTTCCCCAGGGTCTCTCCGGCCAAGGAGCCATGTTACTCCACAGGACCCGCCCCATCCTTTCGACTCCCATTGCTCCCGTAGGGCACGTCTTTCCTCCCCAGGCCCGCGTCATCTGTTGTTTGGACCACACCCATAACTCTCATCTCTTCCCCTGGCAATTAATTTCTTTCCCACAAACTAGAACCTGTGGCAGAGAGAGTGAAGCCCTGCACGCTGACCCGGAGCCAGTCCCCACCCCAGTCCCCGCCCCAGTGGTGCCTAAGCTGCCCCTATTCCACCCCTCCTCCTGCTTTGGGAACCCCCATGTTCTCCACCACCAGTTCACACCACTGGCCCCTCTGGGCCCCTACTTCTAGGTCTCTCCTTCTGCCTCAGTGTATAGAGGGGTTTCCACACTGCTCTCCTCACTAGATGGAGTTAGAACCTGAAATTAGGAGCCCCCGCATTTTCTGGGAGACTGACAGTCAGGGAGAGGGCCCTGCAGCTGCCGAAGCTCCTGTGGCTTCCATCAAGGTCACAGGCTGTGGGCACAGACAGGCTGATCCTGCCTCTACAGATGTTGCAAGGATACAATTCTGATACTAATAAAGATTTGAAATACTGTCCTCAGGGTACTATCTTAATTTTAAAAACACTTACTTGGTGGAAAGGGTCCTCTCTCTGCCCATTTGTCCCCCATCCCTTGCATATGCTCTGGAGGGCCTGCCTATGGCCAGGCCCATTGTCCGGTACCCTCATTTACCTGGATTCATCTGGAAGGAAGTCAAATGGTCCCACACATACTGGCATCATGAATCCATACCTTCCAAGCCAGGGCAGCCAGCCCTGGGCCTTTGGCCATTGCTGTTAGTCTTGTATGAAGAGTTCTGACTGATGTGTGGTATCATTACGACGTGGGCTCTCACATCTACACTGAGGGGAGTGGGGCCTTTCAGACAGACCAGAGCCTAGAGGCCGGCTCCCAGGAGCCTGACAGCGCTCTGCAGGCCAGTGACAGCATGGAGCCAAAGAATGCTACCCTGTACTGCAGCTCCAACCCTGGCCTGCCAATGACAATATTTTCAAGTGGGAATTGGGAAGGATTTTCCAGAGCCAATAATAACGTGTCTTTTCCTTGATATCACTTAACAGACCTCCCCACGCCAAACTGCTGCACGCACAACACGGGGAGATGCATTTCTGTGGCTCCTGCAGACGAGCTCCTCCACCCTGGTCTCCCTCATCCCTGACTAGGTCCAGGGCCCCTGATCCCTGAAGGGTACAAACTGCTGTTGGCCCCCCAAAGAAAAAGGAGAGTCTGCATTACCTGGTTGAGCAAATACTTAACTTGTAAAGCATAAATAAAGGTTGCCTACAAGAGAACAAGAAATGAATGTTAATATTTTGGCCTTACTATGCAGCAGTGAGCTGGGAGCCACAGAGGCGTGCCATCCAGGAGGGGTGAGGGCAGGGGCGGGGGGCAGGGCACCAAAGCCGAGGCATTCGAGCATCCCTGTGATGGAAGAACATGGCCCAGGAGGCCTCAGGGCCTGGGAGGGAAGATTCCCTGCACGCATGGCAAGGGCTCTTCTGGGATGGTGGGCTGTGAAGGAGGCCCCTGGGGAGACTCTAGAGGCACACCCCCTTTTACAGACCATGCTATAGTCCTGTTGGGTGGAATAATTAAAGAATATTATCTTTTAAAGGTTTCAGAATAAAGACCACAGTGCCAATTATGAGGGCAGGTGGCTACTTTTAAGGGCTGAATTGTATCCCCCACAAATTCAAGAAGTGGAAGCCCTGACCCCCAACGTCATTGTATTTGGAGACAGTCTTTCAAGAGGTGATTACTTTAAAATGAGGCCGTTAGGGTTAGCTCTAATCCAGTGGGACTGGTTTCCTTATAAGAAGACAAGAGACCCCAGGGGTGCCCACAGGGGCTTGGCCATGTGAGGTGGCAGCAAGAAGGTGGCTGTCTCCAAGCCAAGGAGCAGGGCCTCGGAGGAAACCAGTCCTGCGACACCCTGATCTTGGACTTGTCGGCTTCCAGAACTGTAAGATAGTAAGTTTCTGTTGTTTAAACCCCCCATTCTGTGGTATTTTGTTACGGCAGCCATAGCAGACTAGTACAGCTCCCGTCCAGCTGAACAGAACCAGCTTTGGTCGCTCACTGAGCACACACAACTGCATTGGACATGCACATACACCTAGGGCCCTATGATCACACTCAGCAAAAAAAAAAGTCTAAAGGTACCAAGTGAGGCCCTCAGGGGCTCAGAGATGCGGAAGAATTTACCACGCCACAAATAATGTGAACACCTCTCCGTGGACAGTCATGGAGATCCGTCCAGCTAGAGGGGCCCAGGAGTCAGCCTACCAGAGTCATCGTGGCCCTGTTGCTTCTTGAGGGACAAAGGTTTGTGTCTTTCATTGACATCATCAAAACGACACTCCCTGATGGTGCCAATACCACCCTGGGAATCACATAAGCCTGAACCCCCTTGCTGAGCTCACAGTGTCTCAGCTGCCTTTCCAGGGAACCGCAAGAAGTGAACCTCTTAACTCTTGAAAACTTACAGGCAGAGCTGGAATGAAGATCATGACGTAGGTCTGGGTAAGCCTAGCCAAGGAAAAGGGAAAAGCAGTCATAAAGGTCTCCATTTCAAGGGAAGGTAGGCAGCAAAAATTAAATGGCTTTCATGTGCTTGGCTCTATTGGGCTTAAACTGTCTCTTATAACCCAATTCACTCCTCAGGTTCTTCTGAGCCACAGGCTGAGGACCGGGTTTTCAGATGGGCGCTGAGACCAACGCCCCTGCCCGGGGGAGCTGTCTTGTGTGTTGTGAGGTATTCTGCAGCATCCCTGGCATCCACTAGCAGCGAAACCCCAATACCAGTTCCGATAAGCAGAAATGTCTCCCAACACTGCCCAAAGTACCCTGGGTTCAGAGCTCCTGGTCCAGGACAGGGACTTTTCAAGGTCTTCATCAACTAGTCCAGCTGGACTCAAACTTGAGTCGCCCAGGGGTGCTTTGGAAGACAGGCTGCAACCCAGACCAGGAAGACAGAATGCTGGAGGGGAGGGGGACCAGGCGTGGGTGGGGCTCAAAGCAGCCAGGCGATTTTAGTATCAACCAGGGTCAAGGATCACAGAATGAACAAACACCATAAACTGCCACTTCATGTGGAGGATGCTGCAATTCTTATATCACTCTGAAGGATCTACTCTAGAAGGCAGCAGACGAGGAGTCTAGACCTTGGAAGACAGGTGCAGAAAGCACGAAGGCCAGGGAGAAGTCACTGAGGAGAGCCTAACTCCCTCTCAGTGTGTGGCCTTGTCCCAGGCCTCTGTGATTTCCAGAAGCTGAGCTTGCATGGGACCAGCCTCCTGCCGGGCGGGCCCTATCCCTCGCTGGCACAGCCCACCTTACCTGGACACGGCTGCGCCCTGCCTGAAGAGCAGCAGGATCTGCTCGGTGTTGAGGAATAGTGCCCAGCAGGGCAAGCAGCAGAGAAGCAGGACCAGCGTGCCCCTCTGCAGGATGACCCCCACGTGCTTCAAGTTCCGGCTCCCATATGTCTGGGTGCGTACCACCAAAAGAAACACGTTAGCACAGAAACGGCACCCCACTGTCCCCCCAGAGACCTTCAAGAGACAGATGGCCCTAGAGACTGCCACGTTCTTTAGGTGTTAGTGCCTCTCAAACTAGGCTGCTCATTAGAATCGCCTGAGGAACACTTTTGAAACTCGGTGGCTAGAGTCCCACTAAAGGCAGTCTGGATTTAACTGGGATAGCAGGGTAGGACCCAGATATCAGTGGCGTTTAAAAGTTCCTTGTGTGATTCTAATTTACAGTCAGGGTTGTACATCACCTGGAAATGATAGAAATACAATAGAAATCTTGGCCCCTCCCCATCGCCCACCAACCAGACCTACTGAAGCAGAAACTCCGGGGGCAGGGCTGGTGGCATGCTGAAGCCAGTGTCTACTGGCCCGCAAAAGGGTCTGTGTTTAGTGACATCCGTGTAACAGCCCAAACTTAAATATAGAGGGAGTTACTTCTGGCACTGGATTTGACAAACTGTAGCCAAAACACTTCCCTCCCCCAGCCCAAGACCTGTTTATTCAACATTCACCAGCAAGCCACTGGATGGGGCCACCAGCCTCTGATTGAACTAGTGACCCAGGCGACTCTACTGTAGACTAAAGCCTGAGAACCACAGGCCTAGACCAAACTCAACCATGTGGTCAGTGAAAAAAGGGGCTTTTACAAATGTCCCCTATTTGGTCAAAATGTACTGTGAGGCAGACAGACATTACTTCACAAGCCTGAGAGACATCCAGCTACCTTTCAGAGAAAGCAGGCAAGGAGAGTTGGATCTGGGTTTGCTCTGGGACTTCCTCTGTGTGCACGACTCTTCCTTCCGGCTACACTTGTGAGAAGATGTCCAGGCTAACTATGAAAGTGACCCGAGGCTTCCAATTACCTGGGAGATGAGGGTGTCGCAAGCAGAAGATAAGCCGAATCCCACCGACACCCCGGTGACATTGATGATCTGGAAACAAATACGAGGAGCAGGCAGGCAGAGTTAAAGGAAGTAAATGCTCTGTGCTGGTCAGAGGCTGCAGAGCACTTCCACCAACCCCACAAGTCAAATGAAGCAGCTGTCACCTGCCTGGAGCCCCTGCACAGATCGGTTGGGACAACTTAATTAAAGGACATGCACAAAAGTAGAGGGGCAAGAAAATTTAAACCAGAGGCAACTACCCAGCCTTTTTTTTTTTTTAAGTCTTAGGCATTTCGCTCCCCAGTTTCAGAGGACCATGAGTCCTTCTCAAGGGGAATGCATCAAGGCACCATAGCTCAAGACCAAGCACAGCATGTTACAATATCCTTTAGGACTCTGGGAGCACAGGAGCAAGTCTCTGACATCAAAGCTAGTGCTAGAGACCTTGCAGGTGTACTTGATGAGGGTCAGCAACAAAACCTTGGGGTTCTTAGAGCTTGGGGAGCCTGACAGTACCCCACAAACAAGGGAGTGGCCTCACAGGATGTACCTCCACCTGAGGGAGGAAGGTACCCAAGGACAACCACCCAAACCGGGCCCAGCCTAGATACACCAGCTTCCTTGCACTCCCTTGGCCATAAAGAATCTGCAGGAGGCTTGCTGACTGCATTTCTGTCTTCCCCCAAATTTCCAAACATTAAAAGCCAAAAAGGATAATTAAGCCTGGGGTTGTCCATTTCAGGTTGTCCCCCGAAAGCAAGACAATCTGCATATCCCAAGGGACTAATTCCAAGTAGTCTTGTAAAGTTCAGAGGTAGCAAACTCCAGTCAGTGCCTGGAGGGGCCAGGCAGGTAAGGAGAATGTGTGCCTTGCAGGGCAGGAGCAAAGGGGATCTGGGGAGGCTGAGGAGAGCAGGAACACATACCTGCTGAAGTCATTGAATCCATTTTCCTAGAAACATTAAGCTGGCCAAACCAAACAAACTGGCGGGGCCTTTGGCCAAGTGTAGCCCATCAACCCCTGGCAGAGGTCAAGGACATCTCTCTTTGCTTTTGGGGGTTCACATCTAGTACACAGAGGGGACTTGGAGTTCCTCCTGATTTTAGGTTTGGACACTAAGATCCAGGATTTCATCGTCTAGTTTCATTGCTAGATTAGGACTCTCAGAAAGACAGACAAATCATGAGCAGGGGATTTCTCCTGATGAAGTCAGACTTCAACCCTGCTTTTACAATTCCCTTCTCTCCAATGTGGGACCAAGATTGGGAGCCAGAGCTCCACAGATTACAAATTAGCTCATGTGGGAGTCAGAATAATGGCCCACCAAAGATGTCCCTGTCCTAATCCCTAGAACCTGGGAACATGTGAGGTCACATGGCAAAAAAGAATTAGGATTGCAGGTGGAAATAAGGTTGCAGCCCAGCCAACACCCTGATTTTAGGCTAGTGAAACCTATTTCAGCCTTCTGACCCCTAGCACTGTAAGATACTAAGCTTGTATTGTTTTAAGCCGCTAAATTATGGTTATTTGTAACTAACAGCAGCAAGAGGAAACTACTACAGCTTTCCTAAATCCCTGTTAAAAAGTTCCACACGTACTGTCATTGCAAGCATGACAGCATCCAATTCCAGCTTCCCCAGGTGGCCACAGAACACGGAGCTTATGAAACTGATCAGAAACACCATCAGCTGGGCCAAGAACTGGGAAGAGAGAGAAAACAAGCGCTAACCATCACAGCAGAAGGAGGTGTGTGAGGTTCCTGGGGCACCCCACCTTCTCTTAGTCAAAGTAAAGAGATTCAGTTTATGGTGAACCTCTGCCAACTTTCACAGGCTAATGTGCAATTTCTGGTCAGCTCCTTGAAAAATATTTTTAAAGTTCATTTGCAATCACTATCAGAATTGCATTTTTGAGAACTTCCTAGCTTTTTAAAATTATTTTTCACTTTTGATCATATGGAATTTTCTTTGAAATTTTTAGAGGCTTCCTGCCAAGATAACCCCCTTGTTATTCCAGATTTCTAGTAAGGACCGGAGAAAACACAGCCTTCAACAGCCAGCAAAAAATTCCACAGACAGAAGCACCTGAGGCAAAAATGAACTCATCCAACTGGGCCAGTGAGATCCAGAATCCTGGGGAGAAACGTTACCAGTCTGCTGAGCACCTTTAATTCTTGAATTCTGGGAAGCATCAGATATGAGGGCAAATTCAGCTTCTGGAAATTCTAGAAACTATGAATTGCTCCGCATTGCTTTAGCTGCATGTATGGAGACACTATTTCCTTAGGTCAAAACCACCTTTCCTTAAAACCACCTCCTGCCCCCCACCTCAGACCCAGGCAGTGCAGTACCTCTTCAGAAAGCCCCTCTATCCTGGGAGGCTTATTCGTCCAAGAAAGGGATTCATCTGACTCCCACTGACTCTGAGCACGGGAAAAGAGGGGCGTCTCCTCCTCTACCATGCCCCCTGGGAAACAAAAAACTCACAACAGATGGGAATAGACATGGAGACCAAGATGGACTCCGTATACAATTCACAGGTGTCTAAACAGGTGCCTGAACTCTATGGCCTCATTGGGGAAGGCAGTCCCATAGAAACACACAAGCAAAGGAATGGAAGGAAATGAAACCTCTTGGTGGTGAAATTTCAGGTTTTTTCTTTTGTTTGTCTTGGTTTTCTTTTTCTTCTCAACAGCAACTCTGCCAGGGAGTGTTGGGCCAAACAAAGCCCAATTCCATTATCCTCATTTTATGGATGAATAACCAGGGGCTAAAAAGAGGTTATGAGACTACTCAGTTTCACATGGTTGTTTCCTAACCTACCTTCTGAGGCAGGGAATTGGGCCCCAGGCATTCCAAACCACGTTTTTTTTCTGTTCTGCAAAAGAGCGTCACAGACTCCTTCCTGTCAGTTGGATTTTCGCTTCATGGTTTTGTCCCTGGCATTATTCTTGCCACTATGCACACCACAGAAAGCATCACAAGATCCCACAAACTACGGGGCCACCTTACCAGACGGTCACACTTAACCATCTTACCCTTTGCAGGTGCAGAATGTCAACCCCATGGCCAAAGGTTTATTCAAGCCTTAAAAACACACAGGGTTCCTCTTGCCCAATGAAATGGCTCTGGTACCTCCTGGATTGAAAACCACCCAAACAGCCAGAACAGAGTTGGGATTTTATTTTTTGTGGTTCTTGTGGTTTTTAAAATCCACATTACTTTTAAATATACAACCCGGAAAGAGCTCTAACCTAATGATTAAAAAGAAAAAAAAAAAAACCTTAACCCAAAAGAGAACCACATTAAAAAAACACAAAACTTGGTGGGAGGAGAGCGTGAGCCTGGTACCTCCATGCAGAGGTTGACGCTAGATCATCTGAAGGACGAGTTTTGGAGACCTAAATTCTAGGCAGACAATTCACTTCCTCCCTGCCTCGAGAGACACACCGGGGTCCCCCACTGCCCGTTTGCCACAAACCAAGCTCCCGGTTGTTTTGAGGTTCTGGTAACGGTCTTGCTTCGCTGAAATCCTCACCCAGAGAGGTACCCGGTGGGGCGCCTGCAGGCGAGCAGGTCCACGCTCCCCAGCGCACTTTGGATGCTGGCCCAGTGCATCACCTGCGCCAAGTGGGTCCGCCTGGGGTGGGGGTGGGGCGGCCGGGACGCCAGCGGAGGCGCGGAGATGCGCGCCCTGCCCCCTCTGGGCACGGTGCTCCCAGCGTCCGCCGGGCCGCGCACCTCCAGCTCGCTCTATCCCCACCCCACCCCCAGGTCACCCTGACTCGGGTCCTCGGGCCCCCAACCTGCCGGGGTCCGCCTCCAACTGAGACCACCTTACCGCGGGGCCCGCCAGGACCAGGAGCGCCCACAGCTCCTCTCGGAAGGCGGACGACAGCAGGAAGTGTGGCCCGCTACGTCCAGGGGCAGCCCTCCGGCCCCTCTGGCCGCCGCCGGGCTCCTCCGCTGCCTCCCGCCCATCCCCAGCCCTAGCTCCGCCTACAGTCCTGCCCAGCCCCGCCCAGCCGAGAGCGCCCCGAGCCAGCGTGCGACCCTGAGCGCGTCCCTGGCACCTTTGCACCGCTGCAGACTCCGGCGGTTCTTGTAGATACGCACGAACTCCTTGACTTGTAAAGTTTGGCAACGTTCTGGAGAGTTTTTCCAGGGGCCTGCATCCTCTGAGCCTCAGACGCCAGGGCATGCTGGGACCCTGCGCCTCCTCCCGGGTTTTAAGCCTCTTGAAACGCGTGGCGTGGAAGGACCTAGAGTTCTCTCTCCGTGACCCGGTTGGCGACTGGCCAGGGCGCATAGCGGATTCCTCGGTGCTTGGGTACCCGCTTCGCACATTGCGCTCAGCACAAGCTCTGAGACTGGGTTTCGAACTTACGCACTCCTTTCTTCCTACCAGTTGTTTCATAAAAGAATGTAGAATCTGACAAGATAGAGCAACAAGCGCGCATTTTCCTAGTAGGACAATTCGTGTTCGCGGGTGTTCTTGGATGTTTATCCACCCGCCTGATGTGGGACAAGAGGCTGTGAGCGTCACAAACGTGGATCCAAGAGACATCTGCCGCGTTCTATCTGGGAGAGCATGGGCAACTTGCTTGCCTCCTAGAGCCCATTTCCTCATCCGTGAACTCGAAATCATTCCTACATCACCGGTTGTGGTATGAAATGAGATTGCATAGGTGGAACATGTGCCTGCAGACTGGTACAAAGTAATTGCCTAACAAATGTTAGTGACCAGGACCAGGATGAGTTCTGTGATACTGAAAATTAGTTCTGTTTTAAGTGACCCAACTTAATAGAAGAAAATGGAAAACATAAATCTGGGGGTGGGGAGGTCAGGGTGTCACATAACCTGGCAGTTTGGAATCAGGGATTTTAAAACAAGGGTGTCCATTCTCTCTTATCTCCCCCTGCCCTCTGCTCTCACCATTTTTTAAATTCTCTCCTTGATTTCATTCTTTCTGTAAGCAGTCTCTTTTTGCCTGTGCAGGGGAGGGTGGCCTTTAGTACCCTCGTTCCTGTCTTTCCCACCTGTAGGTCAGAAAATAAGACTCTCCCTGCCTCTCTTAGAGCTCCAAACAAACGAATAAACAAGCAAACAAAAAACGGGGAAAACTGAATTGGCCCTATGTAGGTTTCTTGCCCATCTCCAGAACAATCACACTGGCCAGGGAAATAGGGTCTTATGTTTGGCCAGATCTGGACCATGCACTCAGCTCTGTACCAAAAGGGTTGGGTGCGATCTTTGACTGACAATAGCCCCATCAGAATTGCATGTAGGGAATGGAGGAGGAGTTTCCCAAGAGAAATTAGGGTCCCCAGAGAAAAAAATCCTAGGATATACACTACATCTCCAATCACAGCTGTTCTTTAATAGTCTTCTGGAGTCCTGGCCAATGGAATAAGACATGAAACATACATGTAATATACAGGATGGACCTAGAGAGTATTATGCTGAGTGAAATAAGTCAGACAATGACAAATTCACTTAATTGTGAAATTCACTTAAATGTGGAATCTAAATAGCAAAATGAACAAACAAAACAGAAATAGACTCATAAACACAGAGAACAGACTGATGGTTGCCACAGGGGAGAGGGGGCAATGCATGAAATAGGTGAATGGGATAGATGTGCAAACATCCAGTTATAAAATAAATGTCATGAAGATGAAAGTGCAGCATAGGAAATACAGTCAACAATATTGTAATATCTTGGTATGTTGACACACAGCAACTATGCTTATTGTTGTGGGCATTTAGTAATGCGTATAATTGTTGAATCACTATGTTGTACACCTGAAACCAATATAATATTGTATATGACTGTTATTGCAATTAAAAAATTTTTAAAGAAATGTAATAGATAAATATTGGGAAAGAAGAGGCAAAAGCACTACTTGCAGGTATAATTCCAGACAATCTAAATAAATGGGGAAAAAGAGCTAATGGGATTAATAAAGGGGTTTTAATGAAGTTGTTACAAGCTCTTCAACAGATAATATCAGTCCTTTATATTGGTAATAATGTATATGAAAATATTGGAAAGGGAAATAGCAACAAGTAAATACTCCTTGTGATATAGGACATAACTCCCCACTCCTTAAAAGGTGCTGGGAGCGAGCCTATGGACTTTTAAGCAATACTAGTTATATAAGTCTTAAGACAACAGCAATCATTTCTGCAGTAAGGCAGAGTTGCTCTCCTAGCCAAATCAATATAGATCTTGCAGTCAGATTGCTAAGCAATGTTTCCTCCTCTGTTCTTTCCACTAGCCTTCTAACCCTGCCAAACTCCTGCTTCTCAAGAACACCCGCTGCCCCAGGGGAAAAGCCCCACCCTTAAACCTCCCTCCCAAGGGTCCCCACCCACAAGATGGCGAACTTCCTGCTTCTCTTCCGGGTCCTCGGTTCCCGCCGGCGCCACCTGAAGCCCAATCACCTCTCTACACGTTCCCGCCGGCGCCAACTGAAGACCAATCACCTCTTTACATATATTTTCGTCACAACCTATATAAATTTAGGCTGAGAAAAATAAAATTGGTCAGCTTGATCAGACAGCCTGTCTTGCTGTCCATTCTTTGTGTCTCTTGCCCCTTCATTCTCTCCTCCAGGCCGTCGACCCCTGTTGATAGTCCTGCAGGTCGGGACAAAAAGGGTTGTATACAGTGACTTCCTTCCGAAAAGCACAGTATGGAAGGGGGAAAATCGTAACTTTACAAGAGAAACCTGGCAGACACTACCTCAACCCGATGATCAAAGTTAACATCAACAGTGATAGATCATACTGTAGTATGTACCTTAGAGTCTTAGGGCTGCTGTAACAAATTACCATGTGGCTTAAAACAACAGAAGTGAGAGGAAGAGCCAAGATGGCAGCATGAGTAGGGCAGCAGAAAACTCCTCCGAAAACCATACATATTTTTGAAAATACAACAAATACAACTAATCCTAAAAGAGACCAGAAGATACAGTACAATAGCTACGCTACATCTACAGCTGCGAGAACCATCATGAAGGGGATAGGATAGAAGCCGTGGCCTGGTGGGACTCAAGCGCACCCCCGGCCCCAGCCAACCAAGGGGAGGAGAGGAGTCAGAGCGGGGATGGAGAGGGAGCCCAGGACTGCTAAATAGCCAGACCTAGCCATCTGCACCAGAGCACAGACACACAGTGCATAGTGTGCTGGATACTAGGGAAATGGGACAGTAAAACCTGCGAGCGGGTCCCCAAAGCCAGCGCCCCTGGAACAAAAGAAAAGCGAGTGCTTTTTGAAAGACTTAAAGGGACAGGGGCCTCACTACTGGACAGAAGCGTCCCGGCACACTCAGCCCAGTGGCTGGGAATTCCGGGAAAACTCAGGTTCTCCAGCCCCATGGGAGGCAGCGCAGCTCGGAAGCCCCTCATGGCAATAAACAGCCTCCTGCCCATTCCCTTCTGGCACAGCCCCGCCATAGCAGGAGAGAGGCCTGGGAGTGGCTGATCCCACAGCAACTAGCCAGAGCCTTCTCCGCAGTCACCCGGGCCAGACTCAGAGGCCCCACTGGTGTGCAGCAGCCCAGCACAGACAGAGGAAGCCAGGACAGGTGCGAAAGGTTGCTGCTCTCCCAGGAGAGCAACCTGCCGGCTGTCCTGCCCGCTGTGGCTGAGGAAATAAAACCAGAAGCTGCTCCCATTGTGCAGGTAACCAGCACAGGCAGTGGAGAAGGGCAAGGCGCAGGAATGGACGTTGTTCTCCCAGCTAACACACACACCAACTGCCTACAACTACCTCTATCACCATGAAAAGGCAGAAGTATTCGATCCAGTCCAGAATTACCCAAACAACCCCCAAGAGGGAGCCTGGGGAGATAGATTTAACCAATCTTCCTAAAAAAGAATTCAAACTAAATGTCATAACTATGCTGATAGAACTGCAGAGAAATATGCAAGAGCTAAAGGATCAAGTTAGTAGGGAGAATAAAGAAATAAAACAATCTCTGGAAGGACTTAAGAGTAGACTGGATGTGGTGCAAGAGGCCGTTAGTGGAATAGAAATCAGAGAACAGGAACACAGAGAAGCTGAGTCAGAGAGATATAAAAGGATCTCCAGGAATGAAAGAATATTAAGAGACCTGTGTGACCAATCCAAATGGAACAATATTCGCATTATAGGGGTACCAGCAGAAGAAGAGAGAGAAAAAGGGATAGAAAGTGTCTTTGAAGAAATAATTGCTGAAACCTTCCCCAAATTGGGGGATGGGGGGAAATAGTATCTCAGACCATGGAAGCCCACAGAACTCTCAACACAAGGGACCCAAGGAAGACAACATGAAGACACATAATCATTAAAATGGCAAAGATCAAGGACAAGAACAGAGTATTAAAGGCAGCCAGAGAGAGAAAAAAGGTAACTTAAAAAGGAAAAACCATCAGGCTATCATCAAAGTTCTCAGCAGAAACCTTGCAGTGCAGAAGAGAATGGCATGATATATGTAATGCAATGAAACAGAAGGGCCTAGGACCAAGAATACTGTATCCAGCATGATTATCATTTAAATATGAAGGAGGTATTAAACAATTATGAGACAAGTAAAATTTGAGGGAATTTGCCTCCCACAAACCACCTCTACAGGACATTTTAAAGTGACCGCTCTAGATAGAAGCCCTCCTAAGGCTAAATAGATGTCACCAGAGAAAATAAAATCACAGCAAAAAAGCAGACCAGCCAAATACAAACTAAAGGCAAAAAATAAAATCAATTACTCACAAAACCAGTCACAGGAAACACAAAAGAGTACAGAATAAAACACATAATATATAAAGAATAGAGGAGGAGGAATAAGAAGGGAGAGAAATAAAGAATCATCAGACTGTGCTTATAATAGATTAATAAGTGAGTTAAGACAGACAGGTAGTAAAGAAGCTACCCTTGAATGTTTGATAACCACTAATCTAAAGCCTGAAATGGCAATAAGTACATACCTATCGATAATCACCCTAAATGTAAATGTACTTAACGCACCAATCAAAATACACAGAGTAACAGAATGGATAAAAAAGCAAGACCCATCTATATGCTGCTTACAAGAGACTTGTCTCAAAGCCAAAGATATACACAGACTAAAAGTGAAAGGATGGAAAAAGATATTTCATGCAAACAACAAGGAGAAAAAAGCAGGTGTTGCAGTACTAGTATCAGACAAAATACACTTCAAAACAAAGAAAGTAACAAGAGATAAAGAAAGACATTACATAATGATAAAGGGGTCAGTCCAATAAGAGGATATAACCATTATAAATATATATGCACCCAATACAGGA